TTAGCATCACTGCTGCAGGTCAGAGTCACTGAACTTCCCTCCACTATCTCAGCAGAGGGACTCACTGACACAGAGGGAAGTCTTGGAGCATCTGGTAAACAACAATGTATTTTGTGTAAAAACAGATTCCATTAGTAACATAATGCACTATTTAGAAGACTGTGGTATCAGAAAATGAAAATGTGACTCACATTGGATATGTAAGAACAGCGAAATAGAGTTGATGTGTCCATGTTGATTCTCAGCCTTGCAGTAGTAGATCCCTCTGTCTTTGGAGCTGATGGAGGTGAAGTGGTACTGTCCCCCTGGTCCTTGAAGCAGCAGTTCGTTCTCCTTGTACCACGTGTAGGTAGCTGCTGGGTTAGCATCACTGCTGCAGCTCAGAGTCACTGAACTTCCCTCCACTATCTCAGCAGAGGGACTCGCTGACACAGAGGGAAGCTTTGGAGCAGCTGGTAAACAACAATGTATTTTGTGTAGAAATGGATTCTATTAATAGTGTAATGCAGTACTTGTGGAAGAACTGTGGTATTAGAAAATTAAAATGCAACTTACATTGGACATGTAAGAACAGAGATATGGAGTTGATGTGTCCATGTCTATTCTCAGCCTTGCAGTAGTAGATCCCTCTGTCTTTGGAACTGATGGAGGTGAATTTGTACTTTGTCCCTGGTTCTCTAAGCAGCATTTGATTCTCCTTGTACCAGGTGTTGTTAGCTGCTGGGTTAGCATCACTGCTGCAGCTCAGAGTCACTGAACTTCCCTCCACTATCTCAGCAGAGGGACTCACTGACACAGAGGGAAGCCTTGGAGCATCTGGTAAACAACAAATCATTTTATGTAGACACAGATTCTATTTATACTGCAATGCAGTACCTGAAAGAACTGCAGTATTAGAAAATGAAAATGTGACTCACATTGGATATGTAAGAACAGCGATATAGAGTTGATGTGTCCATATTGATTCTCAGCCTTGCAGTAGTAGATCCCTCTGTCTTTGGAGCTGATGGAGGTGAAGTGGTACTTTCCTCCTGGTCCTCTAAGCAGCGGTTGGTTCTCCTTGTACCAGGTGTAGTTAGCTGCTGGGTTAGCATCACTGCTGCAGGTCAGAGTCACTGAACTTCCCTCCACTATCTCAGCAGAGGGACTCACTGACACAGAGGGAAGTCTTGGAGCATCTGAGGTACAACATACGTATAGGTACACAATTCATTCATAAAGAACTTTTTTGTCAAAGAAGACAGAGCAGACAAGTTCAACTTACACTCCACAATTAGAAATCGAGATCTAGAGTTGACACATTGCTTCTCATTTCTCATTCTTAAATTAAGCTTGCTTCCAACGCAGTAGCTCGCCTCTGAAAATTCATTTAACACACCTTGTAGGGGCGTCGCGACCACGAGTTGCACTGTCACACTTTTCAGCATATTCAGCTTTCAGAAACATGGACCACAGAATCACGCAGCCATCACATGTACCATCCACTCTGAAACCTCAATTCAAAGCAAATATTCCTCCTCCTGTCATCTCTGCCGCAACATTACTTTTAGCTATTTCCAAGGCCACAAGACATCCCACTCCCATGCCCTTGCCTACAGGAGTTGACATAAAGAGAAACCAATGCTTCAGTTAGGACAATCCAGGACAATCCATCTGCAATAATCATAATTTAGCCAGCTGCAGCACACCTCAGTGCAGATCCCTGCATGGTTGCTTCCTCTGCAGCAGTGGTCAATCTTGACTTGCCTGCCTTCACAACCGTTTTGTATCACTCACATCAGTCATCAGTCTTCTTTAATTCCAAGCACCAGGATCTCAGTGTCACTAACTTTTACCCCCATGTCAGCAACCCTCCACTTATACACAACAGGACGACAGATTCTCAGTCAGGTTCAGTGCAGATACCAGCAGGTTTGCGTCTTCTGCTGCCCTCACAACCACACAAAACATGACCAAATCACTAACTTGGTCTACCCAGGGGTCCCATCCCAGGCAGATGTGCTCAGACAACCTACAAAGGAAGGTGCTAAGAGGGCATCTGGAGCTGATGTCTGAACCAACTGGCTTCTTTCAGCGCGAAGGGGCAACGACTCTATTGCATGTAATAAAAGTCGTAGTCATTCTCCTGTAGTCATGCCTTTTGTGCACCGCTTCACATGGTGGTCAGTCACCAACCAGTTCCTCCTCTGTGCCAAAGCTTCCCAGCCACATCCCTTTGCTCCCTCTATAACAGATTCCAAACCTCTATTCCATCATTCAGTGTAACTGTGTTGTCCAGCTTCAACTTATTTGCTTACCTCCATCTGGGCATCAAAACACTCATGATACCTCTGCAACATGATTTATTATTTTATGGTCATTTTCCACTGACATCTGTCCTCCTGTCCCACTGCATCAACATGTTCCAACGTCTTAGGTCTCAGCCTCTAACTGGCACTCTCGAATCCATGCCTTCCTTGGTTTCCTGTGGAGTTCATTGCAGCGTCAACTAAGTCGAGTTGAGTTAAATCTGCACCATCATCTTACCATACCCCTACCATATCCTGTATCCGACCTTCCTCCATCTACGCAGACTGCCTGGTCTATTCACCCAAACAAAGACAGACCAACCAAGCCAGCAATCCAATGCCCATTATATACTTTAATCTAAATTCACACCTAAGCCCTTACAAATGTAGAGTATGCCATATACAAACCATAACAATCTCACAATGCTTTGCCTTCTGACCCTCTGTTTGTTAAAGAGACCGGTCAAGTCCCAACTTTATGAAGCCGGGGTAAATCAAGCACAAAATTTCGAATTACATTTTTTGTGGAGTCCTTTGTTTCCCAATTTATTTTCATATAATTACAATTAGACAATAACAATGTGTTACACAAAACCTATGAAGAGAATTCACAAGAGGCTTTCTGTAAAATCTCTGCAAGAAAAATGCAATAAAATACCCAAAGAAACGGTACTAAAATATTACAGGTATTTCACGAAACGTACTGCAGTGGCACCTAGCGAGCAAACAAAACACACAGTCACCAAACTGCCTTGTAAAAATCATCTTTGCTAAACACATACTGCTGTAACAAAAGCAGATACAATTATCTCATCATTTTAACCAGAAAACAATACATACATCCATATTTCATGGAAGTGAAAACAATACAGGATACAGTGGAATTCTTATGCAGTGTTTTCATTCTCTAACCATCTGCAGTCCTACACACAGTAGGCAAACAGAAAGTGGATATTTAATGCATATAACTTAGAAATTTACCACTCTGTCACTACATGTCTTAAATAAAGCCTTATGTAGTATGGGACTATTAACCTTCTCTTACCATCCACATCTGTTGCTATCTGTCAGAAAGACTTCCTGTATCTTTGCACTTTGACTTCAGCACTACCACGAGAATGCAGCCGTAATACGCCCCCTGCTGTCCAAAAGGAAAATCAGCAGAATAGCAACAAACGGATTTTAAATGTATTTCAGTGTTTGTTTGTTTTTTAATCTATTTAATTATCTGTTTGCCACCTGGTTACACTTATCTTGTTTTTTTTCCCCCACTTTGAACAAGTCCTGATGGCCAGTATACTGTCTTTCCACTTTTTCTTATTGACACAGCTTCCAGCTAATGGGCTCTGCACTTAATAATCAAGGACATGGGCTGTTAGTCATCGTATGCATATCTGCTTTTCATCTGCTCCAACCCTCAAGGCCTACATCATGCTCACTCTTAGTTTGCTTCTCCAGGTTTTTGTTTTTTTTGGAGGTCCACCCAGGAGCTGTGGCTGATCCCTGATGAAACCTTCCCCCACATCGCAAAAGCTCTAATCAGACATCTCCAACATAACACTAATTTGCATTCAATAAACAATCAAGCTTTACATTGAGGATGTGTTTTTTTTTGCTCGTGGATGAATGACTAACCATATTCAGGACATTCATGTTGCCATACATAGAAGGTCTTTCGGGGTCCATTGGACCTCAAGAAAGAATATGTGCAAACTATTTGTTAGTATTATAGACTTTCTACTATGTTAGATACATTTTCTGATAAGTTTACGTATTTTTGGTTCCAAATGCATGACAAATGTACGTCTTTTTATATTTAAAAAAAAAAATCTTAAAAAAACAAAACCAAAAAACCCCCCAAAAACTAATACCTATCACCTAAACCAAATGGCCTGGGGTCTGAAATACCCCAAAAGTCCTGAATAGTGTTAAAACAGGTGCAGCAGATGCTGAGAAGGCATGACCTCTGACATTGTTCGAACTTGAAAAACACTGCATCCCACAGGTCGATGGCATCTTCGACACCCCTGCCTCATAAATGTCTTTTTTCAAAGCTGTTTCAAAGTGTTACCCTGGAAATCACACTATCACAACTGTTTTCGCTCTTTATGAGGGCTAAACTGAAAATTCAGAACTTGACAGATTTCATTTTTTCACAGTTTTCACTTACATTTCACATCAATAGTTATCCTTTTAGAATTCCTCCCCAGCTCATTCTCAGCTGTACAGTAAAACTCTCCAGACTCAGAGGGCCGGATGGAGCTGAAGTAAAACTGTGATTCTTTACTGAGAGGATTTCCATTCTCCTTGTACCAGGTGTAGTTAGCTGCTGGGTTAGCATCACTGCTGCAGTTCAGAGTCACTGAACTTCCCTCCACTATCTCAGCAGAGGGACTCACTGACACAGAGGGAGGCTTTGGAGCATCTGGAGGAGATGAAAACACACATGAAGGCTGAGATGAGAATGTGATTGTTTTAGCACGACCTGTTTTGCTTGTTAATGGTTTAAATAGTAAATGTAACGCATCAGGAAGAAAGAATACAAATTCCAGATTTTATTTATTTAGTCCATCCAGGCATGTGAACCAATCTGTACAACTGAAATCCTATTTGGGTCAGAATAAATGGCCTTTGTTTATGCAGAAGAGCAAAAAATGTGTTGGATGTAACAGTACATGTGACTCATCTCATCTCAGGCTGTCAAACTGAGTATTGTCTTTTTAATTTCTTCCAAAGACTCCCTTTACCATAGAGCTGTTTCTTAACTGCTGGTGTTGGTTGTAACTATTTCGACTACTCTGACTGCATTGGCTGAGAACGGCTCCAGCACCACTGTCACCCTCCAGAGCATAACGTGGTGTCTACAAAAAAAGACTGATGGAAAATGGATTTTCAAACTTTGTGTTTGAAAACAAACAAAAAAACCCCTAAAAACAGAAAGCGACAAAGTCAACTCACACACTGCAGGAGAACGGAAACACTTCTGTCCTTTAGCTGCACAGTAATATCTGTCTGAACGACCAAATGTCTGCAGGTGGAAATATCTTTTCTCTTCTGTAACTTTGACTCCATTCTTGTACCAGATGTAGGAAGGAGTGTCAGCCTGCTGATCATTGCTGTGACATGTCAGTTCCGTGCTGGTAGGAAACTGGATGCATGCTGATCTCCCCACTTGTATCTGGAGCTGTGGATCTGTGACAAACCAACAGTCACGTTAGTTTAGAAAGAAATGTCAACACACTCATAGAAATGTGTGCGGTATGTTGACTCTAACTGACTTCCAGTGAAAATGTTACCTGCCACAGACAGGGTGACTCCAGGTAATCCAGTATATTTCCCACCTGATTGGTTTGTTGTAAATCTAAACTTGTACACAGCTGAGTCGCTCTTTCTCAGGTCTGTGATTCTCAGAGTGCAGTCGTTGTTTCCACGGTGATACTGTACACGACCTGAATAGTCCGGGTCTGTTCTCAGATCCACATAGCTGAAAGGACTCTGTTTTGAAAACCAGAATGTTTCCTCAACAGTAGTGTTACGGCCATCTTTTCTTAAAGGGTATGCGTAGGTGCAGAGTATTTCCACTCTGGAGCCTTTTAAGGCACAGATGTGAGTAGACGGGTAAATCACTCCCCAGTCATTCAGGCTGTGTGTCACTGGAACACAGAACACATCACAAGTCATCAGAGTCACACCTGAAAGGTTCAGTGAACAGACTTGTTTGTAGCTAGTTTTGAATTCATTGTAGCATCAGAAAACAAACCTGTTTGTATTTCTGAACCACATTTTAAATCTCCTTTGAGGGACATCGAACAATGTGTCCTGGAGAACCAACAGTCTGCAGGTTTTCACTTCAACTAAATACACACTGATGAGCCGTCTTTGGTGAAGAGCGGAGGATCAGTGGAACCACCTGCAGACAGGTATCTATCTATCTATCTATCTATCTATCTATCTATCTATCTATCTATCTATCTATCTATCTATCTATCTATCTATCTATCTATCTATCTATCTATC